CCACACCTCCATCTTGATTGGCTGCCTGGTGGCCATCATCTTGCTCCTATTGGGCGTCATCATCCTCATCCTCTGGCGGCAGTACTGGAAGAAGATACTGGGGAAGGTGAGTGGGATGGGGCAGTCAACTGGGAGGAACTGGGCACGCAGACACCTGGGTCAACAGCCCAAGCTCTGGGAGGGTGGTGGGGTCAACTGGGGGGAACTGGGCGCCTGGGTCCACCTGAGGGTCCCGCCCCACAGGCCCAGCGCCGGCCGTCAGAGGATGAGCTGCGGGTGCAGCTCTCAGTGCCAGGTGACACCATTGTCATCAACAACGCGACGGGGGCGGGGCGAGGACCCCCCCGCTACGAGCGCATCCCCCCAGGCCCGGGCGAGTACCAGGAGCCAACGCGGCCATGGCCATCGCTGCCCCCGGCCCCCCCTGGGCCTGGTGAGTGGAGGAGGGAGGAAGGGATGGGTGGAGACCACATGGGGATGGATGAGGAGGAATGGAGGGAGGGATGGAAGCCACCACCACCCCCACCCCCCCATGGCAGCCCCCGGGGAGCCCAAGCCGGGACAGCCAATCGCCAAAGCCGACCACAGCCACACCTCCATCTTGATTGGCTGCCTGGTGGCCATCATCTTGCTCCTATTGGGCGTCATCATCCTCATCCTCTGGCGGCAGTACTGGAAGAAGATACTGGGGAAGGTGAGTGGGATGGGGCAGTCAACTGGGAGGAACTGGGCACGCAGACACCTGGGTCAACAGCCCAAGCTCTGGGAGGGTGGTGGGGTCAACTGGGGGGAACTGGGCGCCTGGGTCCACCTGAGGGTCCCGCCCCACAGGCCCAGCGCCGGCCGTCAGAGGATGAGCTGCGGGTGCAGCTCTCAGTGCCAGGTGACACCATTGTCATCAACAACGCGACGGGGGGGGGGCCCGCTACGAGCGCATCCCCCCAGGCCCGGGCGAGTACCAGGAGCCAACGCGGCCATGGCCATCGCTGCCCCCGGCCCCCCCTGGGCCTGGTGAGTGGAGGAGGGAGGAAGGGATGGGTGGAGACCACATGGGTATGGATGAGGAGGGATGGACGGAGGGATGGAAGAGGGAGGGAGGGATGGATGAGGGATGGATGGAGAGGTGGTGACAATTTGGGTGGATGGATGAAGGGAAGGACAAAGGGATGGATGGAGATCACATGGAGATCAGCGGAGACAACTTGGATGGATGGACGGGTGGAAGAAGGGATGCAAAGACACCATATGGGGTGGGGGAAGGGAGGAATGGATGGAGAAATGGATGGATCAAGAGATGGATGAGGAGGGATGGATGGGTGGGTGGATGGAGAGGTAGAGACAACTTGGATGGGTGGATGGAGGCCATATGGAAATCGGTGGAGACAACTTGGATGAGGAGAGGGAGGGAGGGAGGGAAGGACACCATATAGGGGAGGAGAAATGGATGGATGGATGGATGGGTGGAGACAACTTGGGTGGATGGATGAAGGGAAGGACAAAGGGTTGGGTGGAGACCACATGGAGATTGGTAGAGACAACATGGATGAGCAGATGGATGGAGGAATGGATGGATGGGTGGAAGAAGGGATGGAAGGACACCATATGGGGTGGAGAAAGGGACGAGTGGGTGGAGAAATGCATGGATCAAGAGATGGATGGATGGAGAGGTGGAGACAACTTGGATGGATGGATGGAGGCCATATGGAAATCGGTGGAGACAACTTGGATGAGTAGATGGATGGATGGATGGATGAGGGATGGACAGATGGATGGAGGGATGAGGGATGGACCACGGACGCCAGGGTCCAGCCAACCCCTCCCCCCCCATCCTCCTGCATTGGGCACCCACCCTGGGCCTGGATGGGGGGGTGG